CCGCGGGATGGAGGCGCCCGGAGCTGGGCTTGCAGCTAATAGGATTCTGGATAAATTGTAAGGGAGTCGTGCCCCGCGACGCCTTGTGCTAGAAAATAATTAATGTGGAAGTTATGGTGCTGAATGGTTTGTGGCTGGGTTGTGTTTTGTTTTTTTTTGGGCGGATGCTCGCTCGCATCCCGCGATCTGTCGGGCTCCGTCTCTGCCTGTCCCTGTCCATCCCAGCCAGGACAGGGGCTCAAGGTACCAGAGGATGCTCTCTGCACCAGCAGAGTACTGCTGGATTCACACACTTGCTTCTACATATGGTTTTATCCCCTATCTAGCTCCATATTCTTCTCTAAAATACGTTTTTTGAAACCTCATTACAAAAATTACACAACTTTATCAGTTATATCTGAAAAACAAAGGTTGGAGCTTTGCTCTTTGTATAACCAGGTTCCTTAAAAACACACAGGTAGTTTTTCTCTATGCCCATATCCCCACACACAACTTAGTGAAATGTCCTTTACTATACAAACATTATTTACTCTCATTTGCAAAATTCGATTATCTACCATGCTGTTCCCACGAACACACCTTCTTACATCATCCAGTTACTATATTTAGAAACACCCACAGTAAAATAATTATGTGAATAGAGGAAACAACTAGGAGGTCACAGCTAATGTTATCAAATGCATCTGTTGAGATGTATACCTTGCTGAAAGAGGGGGGAGCCTCAGGAGAAACAGGGAACATCACAGTCACTATTTTTAAATGCCACAGAGCCTAAGAGTTCTGGAGTCACAGGAGAGACGCTTACAGCAGTTTTAAAAGGTCTTAGAGAAATTTGGCTCAGCAATGCCCAGATTCATCTGAAGTTGGCAATAATTCCTTGTATCTTTCATAGGTTATTTATTTGTATAGCTTCCATGTAATACACAATATTAAAATGTATTTTAACTGTGGAGGATTTATAACTTTATAAGGTATAAAGGACTCAGAAAAGCATAATTTGGACTGAAAATTAGAAAACCTCATACTTTTTTTATGGTTTCAGGTATGAAAAGACTGCAGAAGTGCCAGTACCTGCCACCTCACACAGGGGAAAATCAGCCCCAGCCTCCAGGCTTTGCTTCCCTCTGGGTCTCAGCTGGGGTGAAGGGAGCCCATCTCAAGCTCCAAACATGAAGGAATACACAAACAAGATAAAAGTTATTGCTGGAGATATACAAAAAGCTAAAATCTCAGTGAACAGTGTCTGTACAGGGAAATGGGATGGGTAAATAAGCCAAAGAACCCATGGACAAGGGAGTCATGGTGTAAATGCTGTTGTCCAGCAGTGCACGCCCATCCCTTCCCAAACAGAACCAGGACAGGCTCTGCGAGGTTAAACTCCCACAGGAATCACTGTCCTCCTGCTGCAGACACCTTGTGCCTCTCTCTTTAGCCTGAGCAAGGCATGAGGTAGCTGAAAAAGAAAAACGCACTCAGCTAATTCATAAAGCTCCCAGTTACTTACAACAGAATTAAGAATTAGCTCCTCGTATTACAAGTGTTACTAAAGTGTGAAAGTGTCAAAAGCTACATGAAACAAAAAGAAAACTCTCACATTGCGTAACCTACCAGCAATTACAGATTGTTTTTGTCTTTCTGAAATATGACAGGACTCAGGACATCAGGCACCACCCGCACTTCACAAACCCAGTGAGCTGCCAGGAGTTTTTTCAGAGCTGTCCTGATTAGGAGCCCTTCGTTTGAAGAGTGAGCATACCAACACATTAGCTGTTCTCACTCTTTTTTCATTTGTTTAAATAACATAACGCTGCTAATGTGTCTTTAAAATAAATTGTGTTTCTTATTGGACCTAGTTCCATTAGCTTCCATCTTGTAAAAATCCATGAACTTGAGTTTCACGAGACTCCTGCCACCAGAAGGGTAAGTGCAGGCACAATCTGACCCCTGACTCACCATAAAATTAAATCTCACTTCTGAAGAACCTGCAGCCTTAGGAACAAATAATGCAAAGATAAAATA